AAAATAAAGTTAGTTTCTTTTGACAAGTGGCTCCTGATTGTGCCCAGCCAGACTGCGGCATTTGGTGGCTTGCACGGGGAGCGACTGAGGGTAAGTGAAACTGCTCGCCCCTGAGGGCAGGGCGAGAGGATGGGTAGCCATTTTAAGATTCCTCTTTTGTTATTTTGTTTCACTTTTAAGTTGCCTGTCCCTGGAGATGTGTAAGATGGAAGAAAAACCGCTCACATCTGAGGAACAGATAGGGAGAAAGGACGGATGGACATTTCAGGAGGCTATTATAATGATTTTGTGTTGTTCCAATTTTGTTTCACTCTGTTTCAGTTTTGTTAGGAGTTATCTTGTTGGGTTGTATTATAGTAGAAATACGGGATCAGAAATTAGTAAAAAACAAACTGAAAGAGTGTTAAGTAAATTGTTAGAGGAAGGAGGCATCTCAGTAAAATCAAGAACAATCAGGGCATACGTTGATACAATACAAAAATGTAGCCCATGGCTTTTTAAGGAGGAGTTGTTAAATATATCACAATGGAACCATCATGGTGAAGATTTAAAAAGAATAGAAAAGAAAAGTCCAGGGACTCTGCCAGTTGGCACATTGCCATTGTGGACGTTCATATCTTGTTTGCTTAGTCCAAAGCCTTCAGTTCAGACAATGTTAAATGTTAAAAAGTTTCTGCACAGCAAAGAAAACAAGGGAGTGAAGAGAGAGCCTACAGAATGGGAGAAAATCTTTGCCAGCTACTCCTGTGACAGAGGATTAATACCCAGAATACAGGAAGGACTCAAAAAACCATCAAAAATAAAAATAAAATAAAACCACAATTAGTCAATGAGCTAAATAACTAAAGAAAATTCTCAAAATAAATACAAATGACCAACAAATATATTAAAATCTATTGAACATCCTTAGCATCCTTAGCAATCAGGGAAATGCAAATAAAAACTACATTGAGATTTCATCTCACTCCATTAGAATGACAATCATAAAGAATACAAATAATAATCAACAAGATGAAGATGTGATGAAAAAGAAACACTCACACATTGTTGGTGGGCCTGCAAATTAATACCACCACTTTGGAAACAATATGAAGACTAGGAGTGGAACTACTATATAACCCAGCTATTTCACTCCTTGGTATTTACCCAAAAGAACTAAAATCAGCATATAATATGATATGGGCACACCCATGTTTGTAGTAGTGCAATTTATATAGACAAGTTCTGGAACTAGCCCAGGTGCCCTTCAACAGATGAATCAATAAATAAAATATGATATATTACATATACATATATATGTATACACATTATATATATATTACACACACATATATATATACTATATATGTATTTTTTCTCAGTTATAAAGAAGAATGAAATTACAGAATTTTCTGCTAAATGGATGAAAGTGGAGAACAACATGCCAAGTGAAGAAAAAGCCTTTGACACAAGCCAGCATCATTCGTGTTAAAATGCTGGAGAAACTAGGGGCAGAAGGAACTTATCCCAACATTATAAAAGCTATATACGACAAACCGAAACCCAACATACTGAACAGAGAAAAACTGAAAAACATAGAAAAACCACTTACTTTCTGAGCCAGACTCAGAAAGTAAGTAGTTAAATATTTTTTCTCATACACAGAAGCTAGATAAGTAAAATAAAAAACTAAACTAAACTAAAATAAGTGGGGGAGGGGGGATTTCTGTGAAGATAGAAAAGAGATCACAGAGAGGAGAGACAGGAAAAGGAAGGAGCTGCAGAATGAAATTGACAATTTATGCTTTGTAAATATATGAATATATCATGGTGAATTTCCCCTTTATATATATATATAAAGCACCCTCCCCCCATAAATTATAAAAGGAAGGACAGTAGAGTACAGGATGAGGAATAGGGGGAGAGAGGAAGGGAAGGATTTAATGGAGCAAATTTTTTCATGCATGTATGATTATGTCAAAATGAACTGCAGTATTATATATAGTTAAGATGCACTAGAAAAACTTTTTAAAAACAATATCGGCCTTAAATTGATAACTGTTGACACTGTGATAGAGGTGTTCATTAGGAAACTGTATCTATTTCTGTGAATATAAAATTAGTAGATGTAAAATGCCTAGAATATGATCTGGCATAGCATAAGCTTTCAAGAATGTTTCTTAATAAGGTGTTTTTAACATTTTTTGGACATTTCAAGAAATTTAGGATACAAGCTGTTGAAAAAAGGCTCCAAATATGGCCTGCTGTTTTTTCTCAGTCTGGGCCCTTAGATCTGTTCTAAGTGAACCCAAAGTTTCAGATGACTTTATTACAGGTCTCCTCCACTGTCTTAATCTCAAGGTAGGTGAAGAGCATTATTGCAATCTAAGCTATTTATTTATTTATTTATTTATTTATTTATTTTTGTACCATGGATTGAACCCAGAGGCATTTTACCACTGAGCTACATCCCAAGCCCTTTTTATTTTTTACTTTGAGACAGGGTCTCACTAAGTTGCTTAGTGCTTTGCTAAGTTGCTGAGGTAGGTTTCAAACTTGTGAACCTCCTGCCTCAGCCTCTTGAGTTGCTGGGATTACAAGTATGCACCACTGTGCCTGGCTGCAATCTAAATTTCTTGAAACAGAATTTCTAATAACTCAGTAGTCACTAAGTCCACTGATTTCCATTCATAAACACCCAGTGCTTGTCATTCAGGGATTTAGAACTGGTAAAATATAATTAACAGGGTTATTGATCTTGGAGTTAGGGCATGGACTGAGTCAACTGAAAAAATGTGGGAAGGTTGGGAAAAAGTGCAAAACTGATGAAAAGAGAAGTCACAAGAATCAGAACTGGAAACCAAATTGGAGTTAGTGTTGTAGAACAACTGAAAATATTAGTGGCCTCAAAATGCCTACATTAGATAGAGCTTCACCACATCCCTAATGCATGTTACTCTATTCCCCTTCTTGCCTGGTCAATATTACTAGGTGTTGCTCTAAGAAGTGGCACACTTTACATATTTCCATTTCCATTGTTTATATTGAATTATGTATGCAAAATTCAATTTTTTTTCAGAAAATCTCAAATTATACTGGGTCACAACACTGAAATTGTCATCCAATAGTTCCTTTAGTTGTTAACTCATAGATAAATTTCATTATGAATCTTATATTGATAAGATGCACTGACAATTTTTTTTTTAAGTTTTAGTAGTTGGAAATGTTAATAGCCGGTAATTTGACTGTTATACACCCTACACTTGTATTGAATTATCACTTTATATCTCATATAGTTGTACCATTAAAATAACAATTAGTTTAAAAAAAAGGTATGTTGCATTGAGCATCTTTTATTATGGCTGTTATAAACAGCCAGATGTGGTGGTGAACACCTATAATCCCAGCCACCCTGAAGGCTAAAGCAGGAAATCCACAATTTTAAGGCCAGCCTCAGCAACTGAGCAAGGTACTAAGCAACTTAGTATGACCCACTTTCAAAATAAAAAAAAAGGGCTTGGGGATATAGCTCATTGGTAAAGTGCACCTGGTTCACTCCCTGGTACGAAGAAGGAGAAGGAGAAGGAGAAGGAAAAGGAGAAAGAGAAGGAGAAGGAGAAGAAGAAGTTGTTTAGATTGCAATAAAGCCCCTTACCTATCTTGAGATAAACACAGTGAAAGTTTAAATTTAGATGGAGATACAGCTTACATAAATTTACTTTGGGTTGTAGTCATTTATATGGCTAATTAATTTACATACATTCCATATTTTTCTTTTTCTTTTTTTTTTTTCAGTGATGCTAGGATTGAACCCAGGGCCTTGTGCATGCTAGGCAGGCACTCTACCTACCAAGCTATATCCCCAGCCCCTCATGTTTCTCACTTTTTAAGTTATTTTCTAATCATCTAATTGCCGCAGTCCGGCTGGCAGGGCAAAATAGCCAGGGGGTGACGAGCAACTTGTGTACATTGATACAGCAGGAGTGGGAGCCGTTTATTGTAGGACAGGAGGGGTATATATAGATTCCACACAGCTTATCTTAATTAACATAAACTGGACACATCAGTCAACCAATAAGGAATCTCCACACTTAAAGGCTCGCTGGCGTTACTTCACAAACCACTCCCTCTGGCAAAATGCCAGGCGCCATCTTGACTTGTTTACAGACCCAAACATCTAATAATTTTAATTTCTCAACAGCAAATCATTAGTTATTGATAAATCATAAAACAAAATAAAGATATAGACACATGAACATTTTCCTTGTAAATATTAGTCTTTCAAAAATTTTTAGGGCTGGGGTTGTGGTTCAGTGGTAGAACGTTTGCCTATCATGTGTGAAGCACTCAATTTGATCCTCAGCATCAATAACAATAAATAAAATAAAGGTCCATCAAAACTAAAAATATTTTTAAAAAAGATCTTTATCATGTTACTTCATGAAAAACTGTGGTTTTTAGAATATTCAAAATTGTAGGATTTCATATTTTATAATTCAGTTTCCAGGTTGACATGAACATTTATAAAGATATTTATTAAACATTGAAATGCATCTGTTTTATAGTTGTTATTTTCTGTGTTTATACTTTATGTGTAATATGTTTTATCATGTTTTTTAATTCATTGGTTCCATGGATCCATTAAAACACAAGTCTCAACAGGACAAGGAATTAGTGGGTTTTCTATTTATTTCATCCCCAATGCCTGAAATGTAGAAAAGGCTTTCAATATTAGAATTGGCAAATTCTATGAACACACTTACTCAATCCCAAATATGTGATGAATGCATTGATTCTGTTTTTGTTTTGTTTCATTTTATTAGCAGTTTCTATTGAGATTTGCTATTATGTGAAGACTTTTAGTTGCCTGGAAGTATGTTGTTGTTGTTGTTGTTTTTGAGAAAACTTATCCTGAAACTCCTTCCTTGCAAGGAGAGGACTGATGTAAAAAGTCAAAGACATATTTAGAAATCAACAATCCTTTCAGTAAACTTAAAATACTTTTACATTAGCAAATTCCATTACTTATTTAAGAACAATGCAATTCTTTTGACTGAGTCCTTGAAGGCCTGTTTTACTTGCTTGTTTCTCAGTGTGTAAATGAAGGGGTTCAACATGGGACTGATGGATGTAAAAAGGATTGTTACCCCCTTGTTAATAGCCATTGAATCTTTTGCTGAAGGCTTAACATAGATGAAGATACAGCTCCCATAGGTTATGGAGACCACAATCATATGGGAAGAACAGGTAGAAAATGCCCTTTTCCTTTGTTGGGCAGAAGGGAATTGCAGAATAGTCTTAATGATGTATACATAGGATAGAACTACACATATGAGAGTCATGATAAAAGTTAACACAGCACAAATTATAACCATCTGCTCTATGAGCCATGTTTCTGTGCATGAGATTTTTAGGATGGGTTCTGCATCACAGACAAAATGGTCAATAACAGTAGAGTTGCAGAATTCCAGATTCAGGCCCAGGCTAAGTGGTGGAAGTAAGAGCAACAAAGCAACTGTCCAGCAACAAAGGATGAGTCTTCTGCAGACCCTAGTGTTCATGATGGTCACATAGTGTAGGGGTTTGCAGATAGCTATGTATCGGTCATAGGACATGGTGGCGAGGAGAAAAAATTCTGTTACACCAAAGAGATCAGTGAAAAATATCTGAATGATACAACTGTCATATGTGATGGTCTTATCCCCTGTTGATAAGCTGTACAAGTATCTGGGAATACAAGCAGTTGTGAATGAGATTTCTAAGAAGGAGAAGTTTTGTAGGAAAAAGTACATGGCAGTTTTGAGGCCTGCATCCAGGAAGGTGAGGGAGATGATTGCCAGGTTCCCCATTATACTCAGCATGTAGGTGAGAAAGAGAAAGATGAAAATCATGACCTTCAGTTGTGGGTCATCTGTCAGTCCCAGCAGGATAAATGTTGTTACTGTGTGAGTTCTCATAATTGGATTCTCACTTATATTTAATTTGCATTTAAAATTCAGAGATGTTTGTGTGTGATGGTAATTCACAGATACAGAACCTTGAAAACCCATTCACATGTATTTAACTGTTTTGTTTACAAATATTGTCATTCACAGCAGCTTAGGTTCTATAATTACATATTTTTGGTCATTTCAGGGTACATTAAAAATATCAAATTGCATTATCTATACCAATTCCAAAATGCTATGGTTGCTTTCTTCTTATTGCATTCTGATCTCATTTTTTTATTGGTTGTTCAAAAAATTACAAAGCCCTTGACATATCATATTTCATACATTAGATTCAAGTGGGTTATGAACTCCCATTTTTTTATTTTACCTGAATCTCAGATTTAATTTTCCCAAACAGTTAGATTTGATTATTAGTGTTTTGTAAGATTGAGAGATTTTCCTTATTCACTCTGTGAATCCTAAAGCTTAATTTTAAACTTTCTTTTTCATATTCATGTTTCCTTGAAGTCTTGTTATTAATACAATTATATCACACAAACAGTTAATTATACAGGCTCTCTTTCTGTGGCTTAAGATATCAAGTACACTTGTGTTTTCTTTAAACAACTACTTCCTTACTTATTCCCCTGATTTTTCCTCATAATTTTCTATTTATAATACTCCTTCCCTATTGTGGTACATAAGAAAGAGTATTTTGAGAATGAGTTTATTGTATAGGATGATAAGTTAGATATGGAATACATACCTATGAAAATCACAACTGTTTTTAGTTTTTAATATCTATAAGTGTTGAGCACATTCCAAAATGCTGTATTAATATCCCAAAGTTCAAAATATATCAGGTTTAAACTATTACACATTTCTTCAAGCATTGTTTGATTTCACTGTGACTCAGTTTGTTAGTGTAAAATAGAAAAAATTATTACCCTTCATACATATACTATGTGATAATATATTATATAAAATATTTATAAATAATGAGTAATAAATATAATTTAACTACTTCAGTGCCCTGATTCATAATTATTATCCTTTTGTTGGTTACCAAACATTCAATTATTAGTATACTGAAATCATGTTTTGTCCCCATGTTTTTAAATAAATGAATTATATGAAAGTTTATCAAACACCTCTCTTTTTCTGTTGAAGTTTAGGAAATTTCTAAGTATAACGTTATAATGTGTGTTTTCTTTCTTTCCTTTTCCTAATTTTGAGACAGGGTCCAACAAATTTGCCCAGGCTGGCCTTGAACTTGTGATCCTCCTATCCCAGCCTCTCCAATGGCTGAGATTATTAGAGTGTGCCACCCTTCCCAGCACAGAAGTGTTTTCAACCACACAGTATTTCTAGTAGCCTCTGTTTACTTTCCTATTGTTATGTACATATTGACTTTCTCACCTTTTTGCTTTGTCATTTCTAGACATTTATTTTCTTGCTGGTGTCTCTTATGTTGATAGTTCTTAATGCTGCATTATTTCTTCCTGATGGATTATTTTCCTGAATTTCTCAGCTCTAAAAAGTTATTGCTCTTTATGATCTCAATCATATAATTAGATGTACCCTAAACACGACCAAAGTGAAAATCATGATTTTCCACACTCCTTTTTACTTCTCACCTTGTACTCTTTATAATCAAATTAGTGTGTTTTAATTATTAAAACTTTACTATAGACTAGACATTGAAATAAACACTTTACATGAATTATCTGGAGTATTCTTCTCTTCAATGCTCTGTATTTCTCCATTTTTATCTCTGTCCCACAGTATCCAGTTTTATGGGAAATAGCCAGTAGTTTCTAGTTTTTAGTTTCCAGAAACTTTAATTGGAGATATTACTACTTTACACATGACTCAAATTATGCTACTTTTTCATTGTTGTTTAATATAATCTTATAAATATCTATACAGTACCCAAGATTAAAGCACTCTAAAAATACTGTTAATACCACATTAATTTGCATTTCTAAATTTTAGTGCAATCAGGAAAGATTCATTTATTAGAGTCACATATGACCCAAATCTCAAAAAAGAAAATGAAATTAAATACAGAATTTATTATATTTACCCTTCTGGCAGTTAATCATAACCTTCCTCTATTAGTTGTTTACATGTATTTTTACAGACACAACTTGAAAATGTTAAGAATGAACTTGATAATTTTTAGCCACTACTGATTGAATTTGGTCACTTCAACACTAACAATATCCTTGATTTTTCTCTTTTATAAATTCCACCAACTTTCTCACAATAGACATAGTGCTATCATAACTATCATAACTATTTAACTATCACTGAAAAGTGGGTTCAAGGGAACTCTTGTTACCTTTAGAATAATTGATGTTCAGAACTCTTTTGTTCAGAGAAAGGGTTTTCCAATTTGAAGCTAGACATTTATTTTATTTGCCAAATCTGCAACAAAGTTAATGAACAAAAAAGTCCTTTGTGACCTAGGTTCAAAACCACTAATGAATCATTTGTGTAATGAACTTGGGGAAAAACAATCAAACCTACCATAGTAACAATGGGAACATGGACTTTAGAGACAGGAGAAAGCATGTGGATCATCAAAAGAGACTCGTAGGACAACTTTAAGAATCTCATTAAAAGCAAAACTAACCCAGTTTCTTTTAATTAATTGTTAGCACACAAAGTAACTAAAAGATCCATTTCTTTTTCTGATTTATCAATTTTTATGCCAAAAATATATTTTACATAAAGATTTAAAAATATCATTCAGCTTCCTTTCTCAGAATGTTATTTTTATTACACAAACCATAAAAATTCTTCAGTCAAAACAAATAAATAATTTCAATAAACATGCCTAGATTCAACTGTGAGCATTCTAAAAGAAAGCATAAATGTCAATTTCTTTTTGTGCACTAACATATATGGTATTTTAAATTATGTTAAAATCTAGTACATTAAAATCATTTTACTATACATACTAGTACATATAGTAAAATCTAGTATGTTAAAATCAGAATTTCTGTGTCTTCAAAACTACAGAAAGGTCTTCACAATAAGAAATTTATTCTTTCATAAAATTGATTTTATAATTACTCTGGGAATAGAAATATAATAGAATCTACTGCATGAAAATATTGTTGAGTTAAGAAAATTTCTTATAATTCCACAGAGTGTAAGAATACTTGAAGCTCACATAAAATAAATATATTTTTATTAGAGTCACATATGATCCAAATCTCAAAAAAGAAAATGAAATTAATGACAGAATTAATTCGACAAACCATAATTGTATATATGTGATATATATATTTGATATATGTGTACAATGAGGACTGATCAAAGTATGCTAATTAGCATATCCACTGAAGCATTATGGAAAATAATACTTCTACAAGACAGTTCCCCAAGAAAAACATGGAGGGATAGTATGGCTTGGGGGGAGGGAGGGAAACTATCCAAACATTAAGAACGGGCCCTAAGGGAAAAAGCAAACTTTCATCCTTTCCCGGTTCATCATCAGCATCTCCACCAAAAGCAAAGCTTCATCCCTTCCCAAACACAATGGGTCCTGAAGGAAGGAGGCAAATACCAAAATGCTGAGCCTGGACTTTTACCCTTTCCTATTGCAGATGAGTCCTGGAAGGAGAAAAGCAAATAGTGAAGCTCTAGATAACAGGGGGTACCAGAGATAAGCAGTGAACACTGAGTTTTGAGTTTTCCCAATGACAACAAGTTTACCTTTTTACAACTGCCTTCCTGAGTTAAAATTTTAACCTGCACAACTAGGTCCCTGACTGTCCAAACTGCACATCTGCAGTATCCATTGATTAAGTCACCCTCATTGTAAACTATAAAACCCAAACTCCTTCTGTAACCCAGAGGGCCATTTCCTGTACCCAGAAATGAGCCCTCCCAAGTCTGATCAATGGACTTTGCTGCAGAATAGAGGAAAGCTTGCTGATCCGAGGTTTGCTTCCTGTCTCCTGCCTCCATCATTTGGTGGCCATGTGCTTGCATCCATCACCTCCCATGTTTTCGTGCTTAGAGATGTGAACTTATTTTCAACTGTTTTGTAATATACAATATACTGTTATTCAATATATTCACCCTGATATACAACAGACCTCCTAACTGAAACTCTGTGTCTTTTGACCAATAATAGAAGAGAGTATATTTGTTGTTTCAAGCTGGGAAAAAGTGTGGAAAGAGATAGATGAAAAGTGATGGCTGAAGTTAACAGGGTTCCATTTGGGATGATAGAAATATTCCAAAGTTAGATTCTGGTGAGGTATGCACAACTTTGTAAATATAACAAAAATAATTTGATTTTTATATTCAGTTGTGCAATGATAATTTATACTTCAAATGTATATAAATCACATATTAATAAAGGTATTTTTATTATTTTTACTACATATGTTTAAGGTGTACACTATGGTATTTGATGTACTAATACAGCTGTTGTTTTTTTTTTTTTTTTTTTTTAAAAAAAGTGGATTAAGTGCTTCAATCAAAAGGAAATGCCTTAAAGAAATAGGGTGAGTTGGTAAAAATCTCACAGCTAGTAGAAATGACAGGATCTGAATTTAGATACTATTACATCAAGGTTAACTTTTCAAACAGGGAATAACTTTGAAAAATCCCAGGGTCTGTGATTTTATGTCTTTTACTAGGAAACATGCAACCAACAGAGCAGAATCTGTTAGGAAAATAAAATGTTTGATATTCAACCAATCTATGTAATGTAGGTCAAAGGGTACAAACTTGAAGTTATGCAAAATGAATAAATCTAGAGACAATATACAGTAGGAAGACTATAATTTATAATATTGTATTTTATACTGAAAAATTGATGAGATATCAGGTGCCTCTACACAAAACAAAAACTTTTTTGAGATGATGGGTATATTAGTTTTCTTGATTGTACTAATCATTTCATCATGTATATCATGTTGTACAATTTAAATATATACAAGAAAATCAATAACATGATACATAGAGTAATTAATGTATATGTGTACAATGAATTTGAACTATATATTCACTGAAAGCAGCAAGCAAAGATGAAATGCAGGAAGCATATTTATGTTATAATCAATATAGCATGAATTCATCTTTTGTTTCAACATTGATACATTTAATTCCTCTTGTTGAAAATATTTTTCCCTTTTATTTTCTGTTACAATGATTCAAATGTCGTTTTTACTAAAAAAGGTGTGCTTTTAAGATATTGGAAATTAATCATACTCAAGGACACAAACTATATTGACAAAGTTTCTGCTTTCAATATTGACAATCTAGGTAGAGAAAAATTTAATGCTAAGTTAGCCAATTCCAAACAATCAAATGCCGAATGTTTTCTTTGATATAAGGAAACTGATTCATAGTGGGATAGGGAGGGTGAGCATGGGAGGAATAGAGGAACTCTAGATAGGGCAGAGGGGTGGGAGGGGAAGGGAGGGGGCATGGGGTAATTAATGATGGTGGAATGTGATGATCATTACTATCCAAAGTACATGTATGAAGACATGAATTGGTGTAAATATACTATCTATACAACCAGAGATATGAAAAATTGTGCTCTATATATGTAATAAGAATTGTAATGCATTATGCTGTGATATATAAATTTTAAATATTTACATAAAAATAATAGCAGACATACAGGATGTTTCTGCATGGTGACTCTTTGGGGTTTGGGGCATGTAAGATTGGGCAGGAGGAATGAATTTTATTATAAGAACCAAGGCATAGAAAAATGAAGAAAAAAAATTTTATATGTAAACCTCGTATGGAAAAGATGAGGCACAAAAAAGTAGGAAAATGTAAATTCAAATACCTCTGGGTTAAGGTATTAGTTCCAGATGATAAACCATATGAGCTTTTTGGGAGGAATGTGGTAAACAATTTGAACTCTATATTGTATAGCTATTTATATCATAAAACTGCAGTCATATTATTTACAGCTTTTTATATTCCTTTTAGAAAATTATCTAAATTTTTAAGATCCCATATATTTGGCTGTTTTTATTTCCTTTATTTCTTTTCACTTCATTTTCTCTGTGTTTGCTCATTTTAGTAACATTTTGTGTAAATGTTTAATAACTACCTACATCTGGCAGATTATTTTGTAGTACAAAAACATTTAAATTTCCCAAAATAGCATTTTATTACCTTATTCCTTTTAACTCCATTTTTTAGGAAAGCATGTTCTATTTACAATTTTGACTTTATTGGTTTGATATACTTTAAAATCTCGCAATTTTCAAGCTTTAGTATTTTAGATGTTTTTCTCAAATTGAAAGGTTTATAATTCCATTTCATGACATTTTTGGTGCAATCTAAGCTTTTGGTTTTATTATTTAAATTTATTTCTTAAACTTACACATGAAAACATAAAAAATATACATATTTACAGGTTATTACATGATTTTTCAATGCTTGTATACATTGTATAATATTCTTATCAGGATAAAAACAAGCTATCTTCTCAAACATTTATCATTTCTTCTTGATGGAAACATTCAAAATCCTTCCTTCTAGCTTTTTGTAATATCTGATATATTATTGTTATCTGAAGTCACTCTTCTGGGCAGTAGCACAGCAGAACTTCTTACTCCTATCTGTAACTTACTACTCATCAATTTACCTTTCCCCATTCTACTTTCCCTAGCCTCTTGCAACTGCCAATCTACACACAACTTCAATGATATATACTTTTTTATATTTCACACATAAGTGAAGTACTTGTGAAGTACTTGTCTGTCTGTTCCTGGCTTATTTCTCTCTCTCTCTCTCTCTCTCTCTCTCTCTCTCTCTCTTGAACTGAGGATTAAATCTAGGAGCACCTAACCACTGAGCCACATCTTCAGCTCTTCTTATTTTTTATTTTTGAGACATGGTCTTGCTAAATTCCTTAGGGTCTCACTAATTACTGAAGCTGGTCTCGAACTTGTAATCCTCCTCCCTCAGCTTCCTGAGCCACTAGGATTACAGGCATGCACCACTGCACTAACTTATTTCTCTTAATATAATGATTTCCACTTCTATCTATGTTCTTGTAAATGACAGAATTTCATCTTATTTTATAGCCAAGAAGTATTCCAGTATGTATATATACTACATTTTCTTCATCCATTCTTCAGCTGATAAGCACTTAGCTTGCTTGTTCCATTTCTTCTTTTTACCTCTGAGGGTGCGTAGGAAGATTTTTTTTTTTATTCTGATTTTGCTTTGTCTTCTTTTTGTAAGACCTAGAACAGTACCTATCCTAAGGAAAGTGCCCAATACATATTTATTAGGTGAATTAATGAATGAATCATTTGGAAGTTTTGGATTGGAAGAAATAATGGTGATGATTAGTTGTTCTGTTGTCCCTGAAAATGTAAAAAATTACTAAAAGCTTATATCTATCTTATTTTTTTTATCTTATTTTTTGGTCTTCAAATTTGAAAATGAAACAAGGATTTAAAGTTTTGAAAGCTATTAACATGCCTATTATGGAATGATGTGATCTTAAAAGAGGCTTGTAGAGATAATGCCACTGGATGAGGATGAGCAAGAGCGTTTTGAAAAAGTTAACTTGCCAGCGGACTTTGAGAAATTCACCAAACGTCAACTTCATGTCCCTTATTTCTTGGAAAATATTACAATTCTTTTGACTGAGTCCTTGAAGGCCTGTTGTACTTGTTTGTTCCTTAGTGTATAAATGAAGGGGTTCAGCATGGGAGCCATAGAAGTAGTGAGGACCATCACCCCCTTATTTATGGGCACTGAGTCCTTCGCTGAAGGTTTAATGTAGATGAAGATGCAGCTACCATAGGTGAGGGAAACTACAATCATATGGGAAGAACAGGTAGAAAAGGCTTTTTTCTTTTGCTGGGCAGAAGGGAATCTTAAAATTGTCTTGATGATGTAAATGTAGGACAGAACTACGCACATGAGTGTCATAATGAGGGTCAGTACAGCACAGATGATAATGGTCTGTTCCATAAACCAAGTATTTGAGCAAGAGATTTTCAGGAGGGGAAATGCATCACAAACAAAATGATCAATGATATTAGAATCACAAAACTCCAGATTTAGGCCTAGGCTGAGTGGGGGGATTAAAATAAACAGACCAGCCACCCAACAACAAAAGACAAGTCTCCTGCAGACTCTACTACTCATGATAGTCACATAATGCAGGGGCTTGCAGATGGCCACATAGCGATCATAGGACATGGCAGCCAGGAGAAAAAATTCAGTTACACCAAAGAGGTCAGTAAAAAATACTTGGCTGACACAGGCATTGTAGGTAATCATCTTGTCACCTGTTGCTATGTTATATAAGTATCTGGGAATACATGCAGATGTGAATGAGATCTCCAAGAAAGCAAAATTTTGTAGGAAATAGTACATGGCTGTTTTAAGGTGAGAATCCACTAAGATGAGGGAGATGATAGTCAGATTCCCAGTTATGCTTAGCACGTAGGTGAGAAACAGAAAGATAAAAATCAGAACCTGCAGTTGTGGGTCATCTGTCAGTCCCAGTAGAATGAAAATTGTTACAGTATTGTTCCTCATTGTTGATTTCTGACTTCTGTTAGATCTACACTTAACATTCAGAAACAGTTTGTTATAGACTATATAGCAGTTTTAATTTGGGTTTTTCTTATTCACAATGTTTTTTTTAAATATTACATTTTAACATTTATTACATTACTTTACAATAAGCATACTTAATTTGATCAGTTTAAACTTCTGTTTTAAGCCCTCTGGAAAGTTTTCTGCAAGTCTGATGTCTGCTATCATGTACTCTAGTAGAAAACGTCATGTGCTACTCTATTGACACTTAACAAAGAATACTAACTTGGGGTGGGGATCGGGCTGCCTGTGTTTTCTCTTCATCACAGTCCCCACCATATACACTGTTATACGCATGTTTTTCAATTGTCCAAAAAAGTTCCTAAATGAATTAATCTATTGCATGTTTTCCAGTTAGATGCCTAAGCCATTTTCCTTTCAATTTGGACTCTGAATTTTAAAAAGTTTTAACATTAACTTTCTTTAAGTTTTCTGTGACTTTGAACCACTGTTAATTTATTAATTTTTACATTTCAAGAGATCAAATTTTCTGCTTTTATTTATTATCTTCATACTCATAATAGAGAAACTACCTTCATTTTAATACTATTTTCAGTAATAATTCCTTCTTCCAGTTCCCCTTCTGATCTCTCAGGTAACACAATGATCACATCACTAAGTAAACTTAATCAGCCCTATCACCACTGGATATTGGTCATCCTCTAAATGAGACTGTTTTTCGTTTATTCTATTTTCAAAGTGTAAATTTGAAATGAGGACAGAGATTTCTAATGAGGTTTTTCATTCTTTTGGAGGTCTGGGGGTAGTTATATGCACATATATCTTAGTTTCTGATGTGAGGTGATAATATAGGTAATATATTTCTGGATAACTATCAAATTTTAACATTTCAATGTCAAATTTAAATGCATAAATATCTCCCCAAAGTGGCATTTTATATATCTAAGGAAACCAAATTCTATAAATGGAAAAAGCTTGCTTTACTAAATATAAAAATTATCACATTTTTTCTTTTTAACAGATAGGTGATTTTTTTTCTCTTCCAGAAATAATAAAATTTAGATTACAAAAAAGTAAATATAATCAAACTAAAATAATATAATTTATTGCACTTACTATTTTAACTGTCAATTATAGTTTCTGTTGATTGTTGAAACACAAAATCGTAGAATTTCTAAACTGGAAAAGATATTTAAGATGACTGTCATATGAACTTTTTGTCATGTTTGCTTATGAATCCACTGTCAAATTCATGACAACTCTAGGTTGCATAAACATCTCAGAGGTATCCATCTTCAACCAGTTCCTTGGACTTCCTTCTATTTTTATACCCTTAAAAAAAAGAAAGAAAAGAAAACATTTTAATATGAAGACTGTGGAATGTTAGGAATCTGTACCTGAGGATAGTTGGCACTCTGACTTCTCAGGTCAATGGGTACCTTTGCTGTATCTAGCTTACATTTGCTCTGTTTGATTAAAATGCAACTAAATGAAAAACAGAGTCTCTGGTGACCTACACATGGTTACTAGTAAATCTATGGAGTAACCAAATTTGAGGTTAAAAAAAAATAAAAGTATGCTACCTTTGGCTTCCTTGGAGACAGTGTCCTTACAGACAGGAGGATGTATCTGTGGATAAAAGCCAATAGAACAACAACAAAAAAAGAATCTGAATATGAAATAAAATACAACTTTAGCTCCTTTTTAAAAACTTTCACTTCACATACACTGAGGGAAGATCATAAGAAACCACATTTCTCATTAAAAGTTTTTTACATGAGTTACTCATTATAGTTGGTAAATTTCAATTAGACAAGAAAAACATAAAATTACATAACCCATGTTGTTTACATTTCTAATTGTTTTCTACAAATATATCAATATATTTATAAGCACTATTTAAAAATAAACATTAACAACATAATTTGTTTAATTGGATATACAATGCCAAATGTTCTTTTTTTTTTTTTTTAAGGTAGGGGTACCAGTGATTGAACTCAGGGGCACTCCACCACTGAGTCACATCCCAAGCCCAGTTTTGTATTTCCTTTAGAGAGAGGGTCTCACTGAGTTGCTCAGTGCCTTGCAGTTGCTGAGGCTGGCTTTGATCCTCCTGCCTCAGCTTCCCAAGCCTCTGAGATTACAGGTGTGTGCTACTGCGCCCAGTTAAATGTTCTTAAACTTTTAAATATGCTCCAAATTAATATATATATATATGTAATCATATTGGAATAATTTTTTGCAATTAATTTATTTTATTAAGTTTTTAATTTTTTAGTTGTTGACTTATTTATTAATATGTGGTACTGAGAATTGAACCCAGTGCCTCACATAAGTGAGGCAAACACTCTACCTCTGAGCCACAACCCCAGCCCTTATTTTATTTTTTAAAAATTATTTTTAGTTAACACATAATTGTATATATTTATGTGCTATAGTGTGATATTTCAACACATGTATATAACATATAATGATCAAATTAGAGTAATCAGCAAGTTCATCATCTCAAACATTAATGATTTCTTTGGGATATTCAAATCTTTTCTTCTAGCTATTTTGTATATACATAACTTATGGTCAACTAAGGTCACCCTACTGTGCTATAGAACACTAGAACTTCTTCTTTCTACCTATACTTTTGACTTCAATCACCAAGCTCTCTCTATTCTTCTTTTATCCTACTCCTCACAGCCACTATTCTACTCATGATTTCTATGAAATTAATTAATTTTTGCATTCTATATATGAGATCATGCAGCATTTGTCTTTCTGTGCGTGGTTTTCAATATTTTTTATGGCTGAGTTAGTATTCAATTATGTAAATGTGTGTATGTGGGTGTGAGTGTGCAAACAATTCCTTTATCCTTGTATCTGCTCATGGAAACCTGGGGTGATTCCATACCTTGGCTATTGTGAATAATGCTGCAGTAGACACAGGAGTGCAGATATCTCTTCCACAAACTTATTTCCTTTCCAAAAGGAAATAATCTAGCAGTAGGATTCCTGGATCATATGGTAGTTCTACAGTTTTTTGAGGAACCTCCATGCTGGTTTCCATAATGGGTATACTTATTTACATTTCCATCAATAGTGTATGAGAGTTTCTTTTTCTCTGCAGCCTCACCAGTTGACCAGTTCTGGGTTTTTCTTATTTTTTATTTTTTTGTTTGTTTTTTTTTTGTTTTGTTTTTCTGTGTTTTTGTTTTGCCTTTATGTAAACAGCCATTCTACTTGGGATAAAATAGGATCTCATTGTGGTTTGCTTTCATTCCCCTGATATCACTGAGGTTGAATGTATATTCATAAACTTTTAGCCATTTGTAGGTCTTTTTTTTTTTTTTTTTTTTTTTTTTGTACTGGGATTCAACTCAGGGCACTCAAATACTGAGCTACATCCCCATCCCTATTTTATATTTTATTTAGAGACAGGGTCTCACCGAGTGCCTCACCATTGCTAAGGCTGGCTTTGAACTCTCATTGCTCCTGCCTCAGCCTCCCAAGTCACTGGAATTACAGGTGCGCATCATGGCACCTGGCTGCCGGTCTTCTTTTTGAGACATTTCTATTCAGATCATTTGCTCATGTTAAAATTGGATTTTTTCTTCTTATGCTTTTGAGTATTTGAGTGCCTTATATATTCTTGTTATTAATCTCTTGTTGAATGGATAGTTTGAAATATTTATTCCCTTTCTTCCGTTTTACTTAGCTCTGTTGATTATTTCCTTTGTAGTGTAGAAGATAATTTTCATTTGATAGAATACCCATTTGTTTATTTTTCTTTTGTTTCCTGTGCTTTGTGAATTACCCAAAAAGAACTTTGCCTGAACTTATGTCCTGAAGTGCTTCCCTATGTTCGCTAGTAGTTTCAAATGTTTGGGCCTGACATTTAAGTCTTAAATCCATTTTCAAATTATGTTTGTATATAGAGAGAGGTAGGGATCTAGATTTATTGCTCTGCATGAGGATACATGTTTTTCCTACCACTATTTATTGAAAAGACTGTCATTTACTCATTGTGTATTCTTAGAAACTTTGATGAAAAATAGTTGCCTGTATAACTATGGATTTACTTGGACCTTATCTCTTCGATTGCATTGGTCAGTGCATTTACTTTGATGCCAGTACCAGGCTGTTTTTGTTACCATAGCTTTATATTATGTTTTGAAATCAGGTATTATGCTGCTCCAGTTTTGCCTCTTTTGCTCAAGATTGTTTTGCCTATTTGGCAGTTATGTGAAGAATATGTTTGGTATTTTGATGGGGATTGCACAGAATCTGTAAATGATTTGGGTAGCATTGCATTTTAACAATATAAATTCTTCAAATCCAGAAACATGAAATATCCTTACCTGCTGGGCCTTGTTCAGTTTATTTTATCATTGTTTTATGGTTTTCATTGTAGAGATCTTTTGCTTCCATTGTTTATTCCTTCAAATTTTGCATTTTAATAGCTTTTATGAACGGGATGTCTTTCTTGATTTCTTTTTCAGCTAGTTTATTATTAGTTTTTAGATATTCTACTAATTTTTGTATGTTAATTTTGTATCCTGAAAATTTACTGAATTTGCTAATCAGTTTTAATACATTTTTTAGAAAAGTATTTTCTTTTTTTCTATATAAAAATTGTCTCTGCAAACAGGGACAATCTAGTATTCTCCTTCCTAATTTGTATGCCCTTTATTTTTTCTAGCCTAATTGCTCTGTCTGGGATTTCACCACTGTATGGAATAGGAATGGTGAAAGTGAGTATCTTGTCCTGTTCTAGATCTTAAAAGAAGAGCTTCAAACTGTCTTCATTCAGTAGAATCAGCTATTTCCTGTACTTACATTTGGATTTGGTTTATTGAGAGTTTTTATAATAATGGAATGTTGAATTATATCAAATTGCACCACTCCTCCTTTTTCCCAGTCTGTTTCCCTCCCCCTCAATTCCCTTCTTCCACTCCACTGATCTCTCTTGTATTTTTATGGAGTTTTCC